AGCGGCCCTGCATTCGAACCCGACATACTTGCAAATGGGCTTTTTTTCGAAAACATCGGCACCCTGAGGGTTTATATGGTTCAAACCCTCGTTAAAAAAATTATCCATCAGTATCATTTTTAATTATAATAATTAATCATTATCCTAATTTCTTTCTTCGGGCTGTCCAAAGAAACGAATTCACGGGGCCGAGAATTTAACGACGGGAGAGGTCATTTTTAATATGAATTTTTTCGAACTTTCTTGATCGCAGCATAACAATAAATAATAATTTATAATAATATAGTTGGAAAATTCGAAAGGTAGGGTGAGATGAGGAGTTCGATCATATAAATTATTTCAATTAAGTATTTTTTTTATTTAAGGTTTTTGGTTTTGATGAAAAATTAGGGTCACCAGCCGGATTCGAACCCACAACCACCGGCTCAATACGCCCCTGCTCAAACCACTTCACGATAGTTCAAGTGGTTAGCGCAGCGGCGTAATGAGCCGAAGGTCGTGTGTTCGAATCCTGCTCGTGACACTAATTTTTCATCTCACCCAAAAACCTTAGTCAAAAAGAACAATTAATGAAAATTTATAATAATATTAAAAGTAGATATGACGGATAGAAACAAGAATAGATCAATTAGATATCGATTAAATACGAAAAGGATATTTTTTTCAGTTTTTTCTCGTCCTGAAAAGTATGTTTTTTTTCAAAAATATTTTTTTTGTCATTTTGATTAAAGTTATTCTCCAATAAATATAGTATCGTTTATAAACAAAAATTGGATTAATTTATACATTACAGATTGGAAAAACAATATCGCAAATTGAGAGAAAACGAACCCTGAAATTTTGAAAATCTAGGCCTCTTTTAAAAAAACATATTTTAAATTCACTAATTTCGTGGTCCGCTTTACCAATACAATTAATTAAGGTTTTTAGTTGAGATGAAAAAAAGTTAATGGCACGAGTAGGATTCGAACTAATATATTTTCAAAAGTATAATATAAAAATATTTTCAATGTAGCAAATTTTCAAAATCGCCATGAAACTTTATAATAACAAGTATTCATTGTTACATTTAATTTGGTCAAAGTATTCCTATACATGTGCCGAAAGGAGGCCAATTTTCCCATTAGGTAAGGTCAAGGTAATGAGTGACCTTCTTAAAATAAAAATTTAAAATTAATATTTTAAAAATTAAATATCTGTTGATCAAACTTGCGATATTGTTCATATACATAATATTACCCATTGCCTTGAACTTCTGAACTTTAACAGCCATAGCAGTAATTAGTGAACGTTTAAAAATAAAACAACGCTTTTAATACCGATAGCCTACCAGATTCTCATTTATCCTACGCAGAATATCGTTTTTATCGATAATATGCATTAAAGACTAATCGGAACTTTTCATATGTCTAAGAGTTAAAATCGACATGGAAAGAAAATTTAGTTCGGTTGGTTCAGGCTGTCCTGACATTTTAGTTAAATTTTCCTAGGTAGATTTTTTTTATTAGATCGAACTTTTGGTGAAAACGAGATTTCTTCGCGAAGCTCTGTTTACTAAGTGTTCTTAATTAACTAAAGGTAAATCTAATAATTTTAGCTAATGAACGTACTCAGCCTGTAAATTAAATTACTCATAAAAACCATCGAGCCAAAACGTTTTTGGGCATCGGAGAAACGCCTAACTAAAGTGTTAAAAAAAAATTCAAAAAGGTTTTGGTTTTCTCAAACACAAAAATTAATACTGAAGCAGGTTGATGAGGGAGTCACGTTTTCGGGCGATTGTTTCCAAAGAAAACCGAGCAACCGCGAGGACACCTGCCGCCTAATAGCCTTAATTGGCTTCCAAGCGACCGTTTTTGCATTTGATTATGGCGTTGAGAAAGAGTCGGGATAAACGGGCGTCACGCCGATGCCGAGGAGGAAGTTGCGCACCGAGGAAAAGGAAGAGGCGATTTGTAATTGCTAAATATTCATTAAGAAAGCTTCACCGTCGTATCTGTTTCTGCAAACGAAAGCGTTTATGTCGATACGCGTTGATGATGATGATTCATCTGATCCGAGTGAAATCAAGACGAGGACGGGCATATAATCAAGTAGGCATAACGGTCGGAGTAGCAATAACAACAAAGAACTTTCATATCAAATTTGGTTTTGGCAACCTGTTTTTCATTGGTATTTTTTAATACTGGGAAACATATTTCAAATTGTATTATTTGTTCCAACAATTTCTTCTTGGTTTTGTAAAGCCGGATATATTTTTTTGGCCTAACCTTTCGGCATAGCCACTTATTTCCCCGTGAGACAGACGAGTGCCACCGTGCCCAAACGACACCCGAGGATGACCGCCCCCGTCCCAGCGACCCCCGCCGGATTTATAAGCAATTTAGTGGGCCTAAGTTGAAAAATTAAAAAACTCCCAAAACCTGAAATGTCTTCTTTACCGTTGAGATTTGGACGGGGGTTTATATGAAGTTTGTTGCATATGGTTAGTAGAAACACCTGAAATTTTCGACAATTATCGCCAGTCACCCTGTACACGTTTTTGATATCGTTATTGAACAATTGTGATCTTTTCGACCATATTTATATATTTTTCCCTTACAAACAAATCTTTTTTTTTTCATGGCAAAAAACCACCAATCCTGACTGCCTTGAAAAAATGCTGTTAGCCGCAAAACAAGGGAGCCATCTCCCTAGCGACTTCCGGCTTTCTATATAACATTTGAACGTGAAAAAGTTATCTTTTGTTTATTAGGCGTGATTCATAGAAGAGGCCAAATAGTTGTTCGATGTGACTACAGTTGTCGCGGGATGGAGAGTTGGTGTCCGAGTGGATCGAAGTCACGATAGCTCAAGTGGTAGGGAGGGCAGCGGCGTATCTAGCCGAAGGTCGTGGGTTCGAATCCCGCTCGTGACAATGACTTTTTATCTCAACCAAGACCTTGCATAAAAAGAATAATTAATTGAAAGAAGTAACTTGGTCAATTGACTGCTAAATCGTAAATGGATTAATAATTGAAAAGTTTTCATTAAAAAATCCCGATACTCTAATTGTACAGTGTTTTAGTGTTGCCTCCTTTCTCAACAAAACTCAAAAATGTAAAAATTCATTTTAAAATTTTTTTTTATTATATAACATATGATTTATGATCATTTATTTTATTTCTGCCCGTGCTCAGACTCGCCTTTAGTGTCGTTCACTTGTTCGTTCTTGTAAAAATAGATGATTGTGAGAACGAGCGCACGCATTCACTGCACTCTATTTTCGACCTAGTCCAACGCTAAAAATATTTGTATTTGAAGGATTTTGTCCTAGGACGCATATTTTCCTGACCTGACATAAGCAATAACTTCATTAATTGTTTTTTTGAAATGCCTCGCCTAAGTTGCAGAATTAATATTTTTTTAATTCAAACTTTTCAATAATATAAAATTTTCACATCGAAGAACGTATTAACTAAGTAATTCATTATATTTCGAATAAGCAACTCTCTTTATCCTCGTTGGTCAGTAATTATTTACTCATCTCAGTATTATTTCGTACTTTTGTTTTTCAGGGTGAATAAATGATTAAGCTCGTAAAAGTTATAACTTATGGCTGGCTCCTGCCATAAATAAGCTCTTCTAAAATTTACTAAACTGGAACTCGATACCAACGCATTATTCCCTCAAGAACTTCTTATTGACTTGGTTGTGATATTGGTTGCGACTATTAGTAAATAAAATGTGGTTTGTAATGTCTGAACTTTCTATTTATTTAATATATTTCTACAATTTTTATATTATGAATTGATGTGAATTTGCAAATGACATAGATGATGTGTCGTGAGGGGAGAACCATTGTTGTTCTACTGTTATATGGGTGGTTTAGATTGGATAAGGATCAGAGTAGTCGGTTGTGGTGAGATGAGAGTTATTGAAAGTCGAAAATGAGTTGGGGATTTGAGGTCATTGTGAAGAGTGTTAGACGTAGTAAGAAGCATTGGCTATGGCTCTGAGGACTTTGGATCTAGAAGGTTTAGCCCCACAGTTCTAGTCACAGTTTAGTAATATCTTGTAGATTGTCAGTTTGGCGTTGAAACGTTAGATTTGCACGACCGTAGTCTATGGAGTAGTCCGAAACATTTGTTTTGTGCCCGTCGTTTTGTTTGTGTTGAGTTAGGCGGAACGCAGGGTAAAGGACGCAGACGGTTTTTGGGACGGGAATATTATTGAGGAATATGAGGGGTTTTGCTACGAAGGGTGAATGATTCATGGATGCATTTGCTTTCATTGAGTATTGTACGCGAGTTTGCTCCATTCGGCTATTTGCAGGACATGTGCCTGGAGCTCCTCCGAAGCAATTGGGGAAATCAGATGATAGTACAGCTGTTCATCGTCGAAAGATGTAAGGTTGGTGATGTAGGGATATCTGTGTTGCAGAGAAAGTAAAGGTCTAAATACACTGCCCGGAAGTACTCCCTAGAAGACGATAGGTGTATTCACGATGTTTGTAAGAGGTTAACTCATGTTAACTTGAGTAGAGAAATGTGTAGTAAGATCGTGAACGCCCCCTTCTTGTCTTAACATGTTAAACGTTAATTTTTCCGCAATGCTGCGCGTGGCGATTGGTAGAACCAAAAATAAAGCTATAACAGTCCTTGAAGGCTTGTTATTGTTTGTTTTGGGTTAAATTTAAAGATGCCTGAAGTTGCTAAGAAAGGAAAATTAATCAACTCTTTCGTTCAAAATGTTATCTATGCATTCGCAAAGTACTAACACAGCTTCAGTTCGTGCCGACATACCTAACTTGTATCCTAACCTCTAACAGCTTAAAACTTCATAAGATAGGGGATGCATCTACTATGAATGAGAGTATGGACAGGTCAGAAATTAATAAAAGAAATTTATTGGTTTGATTTAATCAATGCGTTTTTAAGAATAAAAATACATTTAAACAAAAAACAGCTGTTGAATTCATGGCTGCCATGTTGGTTACCTATGCCCTAACGGTTAGCAAAGTGACTACATTTTCGACCTAACATCTGACATTGACCGTGGCCTGTTAGATTGAGCAATATTAACTGGCCGATTCTTACAAGTCTACGTCAACATTTTTCTCGATCTAACAGAGTTAGCAGGGTTAAAACAAAGATCGTAATATTTACTGATATCTCTAATTTATCTTTACAAACATCATCAAGGCTAATTGATCGAATTTCTGATGCTATTACGTTGCTCCGGTATAGTTTTTGAACAATTTATGTTTACTTTCTAATGAATCTGATTTTTTCTTTTTTTTTATCAGAAGGTTGGTGACCAATTTTAACGAAATAGGACAAGCTATTTCTATGGTATTTCCTATAAACGTAACAGTAAATTGCATCCTCTATTAGAACACCTCGGCGGTGTGGTGAATCCGAGAAATTCAAAAACGGTTGACTAGTAGAGATGTGAGAATTAGTAAATTATCTTTCCGGTCGAGAGCGGATAACAATTTTAGAAGTGTGTTGACACATTTGGACCCAGGGCAAGATAATTGTTGGAAATTGGCATTGTTTTGGACTTGGTGGATCAAACGAGTTCGACCGAGAGCGGATGAAGTGAAGCTCCAGTTCGCCTACGGAGAAAGAAGGAAGAATTTGTGGGTCACAATGGTTCAACGCCTCCTCAACGTCTTTTTTTTCCATTCCTTAACCCATTGCCCATTTAATATTAAGGAAGAAGTAAGTATAATTGACCACGTAAGACAAACAGTTCAATATTTTGCTGATGTTTGTTTCTATCTAGCACGTTTTTCACTAAATTACCTATTATAATGATACTTTTTTATGGGTGTTTAGGGTGAGTAGGATGATGCAAACAATCATGGAAGGGAGGTCAGCGTGTCTGCCGGTTTCCTTTGACCGTATTAGCGTTCTTCAAGAAACCACGAAAGAGTGAAAATGACTAAAGCGTAAAATTGGAAAGTGGACCGATAACGAAAAAACAAAACTAGGCAACCGGTCGTGTTGTAGTACGGAACAGACTGTCAGCAGGAGTTGGTGGTCATTAATTTTTGTACTTACAAAAAAAAGCTATTTTGTAAAAACTATACATTACTACCTACATGAAAGACCAAATTGGTTTTGATTCAATAATAAAAAAATAAATCTGGATTTTTTATGTTGTTAGGAGTTCAACCATCTATCAATAGCTAATCCATGTGAATAAATCGTCAAACTAGCCAACTAAGTTTTAACAATAATTAAGTTTGTCCTTTCGTATGCTGTGAAGTTGTCGATTTTAAGTTTAAAAGTTAAGATATATACAGGGGCGTCGGTGGCCGCAACGGTTTAGGCGTTGACACGTCACTCATCACTGTAAGGTAAAGGTCCCGGGTTCGAATGCAGGGCCGCTGGATTTACATACTTACAATACCCGACATACTTACAAATGGGCTTTTTTCAAAAACACCGGCATATAACCTCTACTGTTGCGAACCCTCGTAAAAAAATTAAGCAATAAAAGGCAGAAAAAAGTCGTGATTATCGACATAAATAAAGCACCTAAGTACATATATAGGTAGTCAATACTTAAAATAACTGCTCTATAGAAAAACTAAAAAAACAAGACGAAAGTCGATCGAACACATTTGGGACCCTAGACTTTGGGTCGGTCTTTTATGGACAAGCCTCAAAGTCTGTGTTGAAACGTCTTGATACTTTCCGAAACTAATGCCTCCGAAGAATTGCTGGTTGTCTGCCGAGTACCCCTACCCCGGTCCTATCTGATGAACTGAGCGAGCCTCCGTTGAACGATAGAAGAGATCGTCTTGCGAACAACGTCTTGACAAAAGTTTATGGCTCCGACAGTCCTCTTATAAAGACCATCTGTTCACTATCTATCAAGGTCCTGACAGAACTTTACTGGAATAATAAAAATACTCCTCTGTTTATCGTTTCAGCACTCCTCTCCTTAACTCCCGACGTCAGTTCAGAAAAGCCCAATCCCTCCCATCTTCACACTGAAATATGAAGCCATCCGCATATTCAATGCTATTTATTGAAAGATTACTCGGAATTTCCTTCCCACATAGCGCAGATAGAATTCCTAGCCGACATACATTCCTTCCTGCCTGACTTTCTCATTTTTCACGGATGGCACGCGAATAAATTATAACATGGGGTGCGCTTTTATTGAATACGTAAACAATAAAAAAGAACGGTTTTCCTTGCCTAGGTCTATTCGGCCGAAGTGGTCGCCTGAAAGCTCTAGAGTACCCATCAGTCCTAGAGTCGTGTAAAATTTGTATTCTATCGGACAGTCTGAGCGCAAGCAAATAAAGGATTTCTCCACCAACACTAAATGCGAATTTATCCTAGGCGAGGTTGCAAGGAAATTATATGAATCGCATGAGATGAATAAAGAAATAGGTCAGAGTTCATGCAGGAGTTCGGCATAAAGAGATAAACAGGCGAAGTCCGCCCCACTATTCCCCCTGGACATACCCATCTCAGCAAGCGGCTACAAAAACATCCAAATAAAAAAAATTGCACAAAACTGGCAAACGGCTTATCTAGCATCTTATCTGGGAAAATCTTACATCTAAGAAGGAAACCGTGGTTCGCAGAAACGGGTGTTAGAAAGGGAAAAGCCTTCTTCTCCACAATGTCGCGTCTCCGTACTGGACATGGCATATGTTGCGCCTACCTGCACAAGATTGTATCAGGGTCTTCCTCAAAATGTGCAGGGCCGCTGGATTCGAACCTGGGACTTTTACCTCGCAGTGATGAGCAACTTTACGCATCTAAACCGTTGTGGCCGCCGACGCCCCCAATATTTCTTATTGTGATACGAATCTTGTCTATGTATAATATAATAATCTATGTATGAGTTCCTAGTTTTTTAATAAATCTAAGTACATATAAAATAAATATAAATACATACATAATACATATGCATATATATATATATATATATATATATATATACATACATTTATATCAAAACTTAGAGTAAATAGGTAATAATAAATAGGTACAGAAATACATGAATAAATAATTTTCACTTACGGTTGAGGAGCGAGTTGCGAGTTGGGAATGGAGGTATTCGACTAGTTCAACTTGATTTCGTGTACCGATCGGGTCAAAAATTGTTCACAATATGTAGAAATACTTTCTTAACCTAATGGAACTATGAAAAGTCCCAAAAAACTTCGAAAAAGTATGTATTTTGACCGCTTTTTAGGGTTTTCTGTTTAACTATGGGTGCATGTCTTTGTCCGATTCTTGAACTAATCTTATGGCGTTACCAGAACATCTATCAATTTTTTTTTGACGATTGGTTTCTATGAACTCGCGCAGAAGTTACACTCCGTGTATGGAGTTCATCTATCTTGGTTGCTAATGGGCTGTTAGTGCATAACCTTAGGAACTTATTTTGAGTTCTTCGGAGCTTATTGGTGTTACAAATTAGCCCCAAGCATTGCAAGCATATGCCAACACTGGAATTTTTATGGTTTTGTAGATGGGCAACTTGTTAAGAACGCTCTACTGGGATTCTCGAGACAATAGTGGAAAAAGTATTTTTACGTTTTTTTGTATTAGTTCGTTGATATGGGGTGTAAATGCTAATACAGCATTTAGCCGAACGCCGATGTACCTTATTGAAGGAGACCAGTTAATTTCTTCTAGGGTTTTACTGTGATTATACGTGATCTCATCTTTTCGACCCCTCTCGTTGAATTCAATGTTGCGCTGGAACATCTGCGGCGTTACGATGTTGCTCATTGAAAATGACGAATGTGCTCGTAACAACTTCTTTTCTTGGAAAGCTTTTGTTAGAGGTTTTCGCCCGCGGATTCTTTTCCGTCAGCCGTCATATCGCCCAATTCCACCTGGCCTCTGGCATTATATCAGGTCCTCAAATGTTACGCAACTTGAAAATTACACTCGTGTGCACCGTTTGCGACACAAAACTAAGCGGGCCGGTTTGTCAACTCGGGCCGAACAGTTCAATTATTACGTTTTGTACGGGCGAACGGCGTGTTTGACGAAACGACCAATTATGAAACTAGAGTAGACATTTGATAACCGGTATCTTGAGCATTTTTGTCACGCATTTGTGATCATTTAAATTGATAGTTATAATATATCAATACACTCACAGAGCTGCACTCATGCTATAACCTTCTGCCTAATTACAGAACATATTATTTTCCTTACTGACAATTTAAGAACCGAGAAACATAAAAAAACCATGTATAAACATTAGGAGATAACTCTATGCTTAATCGTCCTAAATCTGTAAGTAATTTCAAGCGGAGACTGTGGGTATGGAACATTGTGCCAAAGAGATTAAAATGCTAGGTGTAATTAGCAAACGTCCAGCCGTATAAACGGACTAAGGGCAACTACCTCATCGGTAGTTAAGTCCAAAGCTTTTAGGGATTGCATCAGAACCTGCCAGACATCGAGGATAAAACGAAATTACCCTGTCTTGGTACAAGGACACCAAAGGCACAGTGGCAACCAAGACATCGCTACATTGGACAAGGAAAATTCGATGAGGACACCTATTGGCTTTGAACACTTTTGCGGCATATGAAACTGCCAAAAATGTACATCTATTAGACAATGGAATAAGACTAAGTCCTTGGTTAAATAAGGTTTGGTTCAAGGCCAGAGGCGGAGAAGCTCATCAAACGACCAGAAAATAAAAGTCAGAAGTATTAAAACTAGGAGTAGTTAGACTACTGACTTCAAAGGCATTAATGGGCAGACTCGGAGCTGCGTAATAAACCTTCTGGATATTGCGCGGAAGAAGAAAAAACAGTGGAACATGTCCTCTGCAAGTGGGATTGCCTATGCAGGCCGAATTCTTAATCCTCCTTGGTCTGCATGTTACCTCCGGGAGTCCTTGAGTAAGCTTTGGTATCTGGTAAAAAGCCTGATGTTTAATGAAGGGCTCTAATAATGCAGATGCACAATGAACTAGTCGCAGAACAGAAGATCGTAAAGAGGCCTATTAATCTACGCATATAGTGACTGTCTACATCATGGCACCTCGTGGAATGTACTGCTGCAACCTCCGTAGAGTGAGATATCATCGACACAAGAAAGTTTTCTTTGGCTGTGGTGCTCTAACAGCCAACTAGAGATTCTGGCATATGCAACGAATGTATGTTGGTAAGAGGTGATTAAAATCCAGCCATGTCACACATATTACAGTTTCCTTGAAGATGATTCTAGATCACCGGAACCCGAATGTGGCTGTGGAAGAAATCCGTAAAGCTCTTAGAAACTGCGGTTGGGATTATGGCACATGATGGAAATGGAGAAATTGCAAATTGATAGGCGAAAGAACCTTCCTTAAATGAAAGTTTGCCAATCACTTACTCTTAAATGGCCAATCACCGTTGACTTTTGTATTCAACAGATCTCAATAGTAGGGGAGGGAAGAGAGGAGGAAGAAAGTGACAGTTTTCCTCAATAATCGTTTGACTTACAGAGGACGGATGGACCTCACTTTCAGTACAACGCAGCATTTACAAAATACTTAATTTAAAATCATCCATGGCCCTCCTAACTGTCCGACTTGTGGGAAATCACACCCAACCTTGTCTTCCCATTGACAAATGGCAGAACCAAGATAGTTTTGTAGGCCATCAGTTCCCTTAGGACTCACGTGACTAATCTGTACACCGAGTTGAAGTGGTTATACCCGTTCTACCGCAACCGATACTTCCTTGGCTTCTTCCTCTAACAGGTAATATCATCTCATTCCCCTCGCTACATATATTATCTCCTAACTATGAGATCATCTGTACACTCACGGCAAACTCGCTCCCACCTTTATCACCTCTATTTCCCTAAACATAGATCTACTGCGTATAGTCGTTTCTTCCTCAGTCGGGCCTCCAACCTCAATTAGCCTATTAATTTGTCGTTTTGTCGACTGATAAGGGATCAGATATTCTATTCTGCATTACATAATGACAGAAAATTAAAGAGGATTTTTTTTTTGACTGGGGCTTCCGACATCTAGGTCATTTCAACTATGTCTGTATTCTATTTACCCTTTCAAACACTACATTCATACAAATAAATACATTCATACACATAAATACATCCATACAATACAATCATTCCGTTTGGCCACCTATACTCAAACTAATCTAGATTGGGGTCGATGGAGTACTTTTATAAATATTCCGCCATCGACCCCGAACACACATTCTTACGCTCTCATCGTTCGAGGGGTGATGATGACGTTATATTTCACCCTCACCCCTCGCCATTCACGCTAATAAATACATACA